GCCCCCAACAGTTGAGGAAAGTCCTTTTCTTCCTAGTTGTTACAGTTTTCCCATCTATCATTGCAGTGGTTTGATTAAAAGTTCAAAATTCAATGTTTAAATTTTAACCCAGCCTTTTGTGTTGACTTCATGGCTCATTCCGTAGCATTTAAGCCAATAATGGGATGCCTAGACCCGTTTTTATTTTTATTTTTTTTCGCCCTGTCGCTTCATATTTTTTGTGAAAAAATCCGAGAAACAACAAATTAAATTGGTGTGGCCTTACTTAGGAAAAACACTGAAGATTTGGCATCTCCAGTTTTCAATTGTTATAATTGTGTTATTTTATTTGTTGGCATTTGTCTAACCTCAAGCCACATTTTTCAGGGTGTTACTTAAGATTTAAAACACCTTTGACAAACAAACCAGGAAGGCCCCATTTAAATTGGACAATTTATCAAAAGAATTGTTTTTGTGAAGCTCCCTAGTAATGGTACATATCTTTGGTATCTTTTGACAGGAACTGATAGATAGTCAGCAGTCCAGCAAGGAGGCTCTTTTGAACACAGTCAGTACTCAGCTGGCACAGGCCACAGCTCACGTGGAGAACATGAAGGGTGTGGTCATGAGCCACTCTGATGACATTGTGACATTGTCCAATCAGACGAGAGAGGAGCTGCAGCAACGCGGTACAGAAGTGACCGACTTTCTGTCCAAAGACATCAAAGTGGACGTGCCTACAGGTCAGAATTAGTGCTGCATACCTAAACCCACTAAGGTTCTAAGGTTCAGGTCCGGATTCAAGTCCAGAAGTTTAGGTTCAGTTCCGGACTCGTAAGTCTGGACCTAAACCATGACACATACAACTTGCATGTTGGCAACCTTGCAATGTTGTCTGGGTGAAACCTTGGCCACATAACATGGAGGCCAGTACTTGACGATGCTCGATGGCAATGTTTTCTTCATTTTGCAGCAAAGATTTTGCAATCTATGGAAAGTTTTATGTGGTTTTGGAAGGTTAGGTGGTTTGGAAAGAAAAGGGGTATGTAAAATGGTCTTTTATGGAAATAAGTCTGGACTCGGTTCTTGACTTTTAGACTTTTTTGGACTTGAACCTAAACATTTTTACAAGTCTGGATCCAAGTCCAGTGAACCGGTATGCAGCACTAGTCAGAATGCACAGCTGAAACTGTAGATGCATTTTCTTTTGCTGTACAAAGTGTATTTTTATTTTATGGTACAAAGGTTTTCAGTGTTCAAAGTTCATGGCTGAAACAATTCTGTAGTACAACAGTGCCTACAGGTCAGACTGCACAGCTGAAACTGTAGATGCATTTTCTTTTGCTGTACAAGTGTATTTTTATTTTATGGTACAAAAGTTTTCAAAGTTCATGGCTGAAACAATTCTGTAGTACAACAGTGCCTACTAGTCAGAATGCACAGCTGAAACTGTAGATGCATTTTCTTTTGCTGTACAAAGTGTATTTTTATTTTATGGTACAAAGGTTTTCAGTGTTCAAAGTTCATGGCTGAAACAATTCTGTAGTACAACAGTGCCTACAGGTCAGACTGCACAGCTGAAACTGTAGATGCATTTTCTTTTGCTGTACAAGTGTATTTTTATTTTATGGTACAAAAGTTTTCAAAGTTCATGGCTGAAACAATTCTGTAGTACAACAGTGCCTACAGGTCAGAATGCACAGCTGAAACTGTAGATGCATTTTCTTTTGCTGTACAAAGTGTACCGGTATTTTTATTTTATGGTACAAAGGTTTTCAGTGTTCAAAGTTCATGGCTGAAACAATTCTGTAGTACAACAGAAACAAAACATACTTGCAGAGTAATTTTGTGTTAGAGGACAGGGCAACAATCACAATAAAGTAAAATCACTGCAAAAGTAAATCCATATCTTATTTGGCAGTTCAGTTACAGTAGACTATCTCAGCGACTCTAGCTTCTGGTGTGGAGTAGAAAGTAGTACAGGTAATTTAATCCATATACAGTGAAGAAAAACTTTTACTAGTAACCAAACAAAAATCCATGTGACAGTGTAAAAGTGTAACAAATCTGGTTACACCAGTAAAACATGCAATGCAGTGAGCTTTCATACAATGTATGTTCTTCACTGAAATGTACCTGACACTGTACAATAATCTTGTTCCCTAAAATCATTAGGCACCACGCCACAAAGGAGAGCCTGGGCATACCCCAGGGCCCTCTCGAAGACGGATCCCCATGATGAGCTCCTGCAGAAGTTCCGCCTCGAGGAGACGGCAAAGCTGTTGGAGTTGGGAGAAAACCAACCCCTTCCTGAGGATTCGGAGGACGTTAGTTTTATCCTCACATACAAGTACAATATTTAAAAGTGCTGGACTCTAGTCTCTAGATATATAGTTTCTATGCTATCTCTACTTCAGTTTTGTCTACAATATTTCTCTTTACACTTAAAATAATTGTTTATTTTTGCATTAACAGCATGAAACGATTGTTGAATTATACTAGTCTACTTGTATTTTCTGCACTGTATTCCATTTGAAAGGGGTTGGAAGAATGTTTACTGTCACAGGATGAAGAAAGCAAACATGCAGCGACTTCTCAGGATACGGCCACTTCCAACCAGTCTGACGACTTCGCAGAAACCACAGAGACTGTCGTGCCCGATCATGCAGTCACTCCGTTCTTTAAGGTATGGTTCAGTTGCTTTCAGTATTCATGTTCTCTAATTATGCCCAGTATGTTACAAAAGTTGATTTTCAAACAGTCTAAAGCCCAGAGTCAGGACTGCATAATTTTCCAACTGACTGGACTATACCTATATTTTCTTGCAAAAACATGTATTTTAAATTCACCTCGATTCCATATTTTATACCCCTTAGAGAGGAAAAGAAAACATGAAAGGACGAAAGACGGACAAGAGGAATCCAAAAGGAACTCCTTCTCGGATGGCCACTAAATCTGGGACTCCTTCTCGGATTCCTCTCCTTATACTATAATAGCTATAATATCACAGGTAACAATTGACAGATTTACACAAGGACATAATAATTATAGCTATTATAGTATAAGCAGAGGAATCCGAGAACTGTCCTCAATCATGCAAGCTATTGCTGATATGCTAGACAAAGTTTTAAGAAATATTGTGCAAATGCTCTATAGATTCCCATCACTTCTAATATAAGTCTAAAAGAAGAACAATTGAAAAGTTTGTGAATTTATGGGCCTCTGTTTGCTAGTACATGTACTTGTATTCAGTTAGCTGTTTTGACTGTCTTTTCTTAGTCAATAACTGTACATGGGTGCTAATGATTTTTTACTGTTTGTATTGAAGTGAAATAAATCACACTAGTTTCTTCACAACTTTTTAGGATTCAGGAATAGGTGTACTTTGGTTTGCTTCCATTTATATATTTTAGAAATACCCCTTGCTGACCATATAATGAATAATATAAATATGTGTGTCATACCTTAGATGATAACTAATAACCATATTTGGAGTAATACAAATAAGTGTGTCATACCTGTCATAAGAACTAATTACCAGTATAACAGTACTGAGTAATGTTGGTCAGTCAGTTTGTGAAAGTGTTCTACTTTTCAACTGGATTTTTATTAACAAACATCAACAAGCTGATGAAACTTTAAGGAAAAGGGAGCAGACTTTTTTTGTCTGTTCAAGGGTGGGTTCCAGACTAGTTGTTTTTGACAAAATCTGTAAAATGGAGTATTGTGCAATGGCAGTGATTCACATTGTTATACACAGTTTGATGGGGAAATATGTGAATATACAGTATACAGTTTCTTTAGGTAGTGTTAACCTGTTTTAACTCTGTCTTTTCTTATTGAAAGACTAAAAGTAAAATTGTAACATTGATTTTTTAAAATACTGACATTAAAGTGTCCATTTTTTTCCAAGAGTAGTTGGCTTTAGATTATCCTGAAATTTCTGTATCACATACTTATTTTAGCCATGTGTGTATCATATTATTGTCATTAGTTGTTTTAAGTTTAAAAGTCTCGTAATAAAAGTGTCATAAAAGTTGGAATGGACTTAACTGAATTTTTTTATATATAAGACAGAAAGGTAATGACAATAAATTGAAAAGAGACGAGATTTTCCAACAATGGTCAACTACTGGACACCGGTAGTTACTCTAACTCAGTTCTAATGGAAATTGTTTTTGTGAAAACAAAAGGCAGTAAAAATATATTTTAAGTGAAAGGTTGTGTACTTGTTTGTTACCCGGTACATGCACTTGCAATGAGTGTGAATGAAGGTCACCCTCTAGAAACAGAAACAAGATGTTGACATCAGTAAATACATGTAGTTCCAAATTTTGTAACTGTTACAGTAACTGCAAAAATTCATATGTCGGACAGTCCTGCAAAGTTAACTGAATTAAACCAAACACTTTGTGCTGAGATAACTTGTAAACTGCAGAAAAACCCTTTACATCTTTGCTGGCCAACCAGCTTTGTAATTTACATACTGGAACCATGCAACTACATACACACATGTACAGCTTGCTCCAAACATATTTCAAGGATAAAGCCTTCATAAACACTGCATTGTGTTTAGTCTGCCAAGTCAGTCTGAGGTATCAAAGGCACAGTATCACTCCTCTGTCAGGAAGGCTTGGCTCACAGCTGTCGGTAACTTCTTCTCCAAGGTGGCACCCCTCATGCCAAAGGACTCTTCTTCAACACTGCTGCTGGGGGCAACCTGGTACTGAAATATGGAATGTCGAACATGAGTAATGGTTATAATAAAACTTCTGATATTTTGACATCAAATATCCTTTCTTTCAAACACTTCACTGTACGGTTAATCCAAGAAGTGAAACGTTTCATTGCCTGGTGCAAAGTAACACCTAAATGTAAATAGGTAATTTCAGTTCCATGGCTGACTAGTCAGATGTAGTAAATGCTTTAAAAGGTTAGGTTTTACCTTGCTGTTTATGTTGATCCTTGCTGCTGTACTGACTGTGACAGGAATGGAGGCAGACTGGACAAAGCGGGCCACTTGCTTTGCTGTGGACAAGTCATTTGAAATTGTTGTACTCCCCAGCATAACACCAATGATCCTTGAATAATCACAATGCTAAAACTTTCAGTCAAAGAAGAGGTCATGCAAAAGTGACGGATTAGTAAGGGGGGGGGGGCAATGCCTCATGCAAAGTTTAAGATGCAATGTTATTTATTAACCTGAGAGGGTTTGTGTAAACACAGGCTGCCGCTACAATATTATTCAACTCAACTGTTTTCAGGACCAAGTAGTTTCTGCCTCCTTTCTTTGATCTTCTTGATCTCTTTGCAAGTCTTGAATATGGTCCTCAGCAAGTTGGACTTGATTTTCCGCTGTTTCAGACAGGACAAATTTACATCAAAAATCATAGCAACACTCAAAAATTGGCATTTAAACTTTTAAGTAAGAATACTTACAACTCCTAGGCACCAAACAATCAATAAAATAAGTACATTTTTAAAAAGCCTATTTTGCCTACCTTTCAAGCTATGCAAAATGCAACTGTGTGACTACCTATGTGGGTACACATCACATCAAAGGGAAACAGTGAACCTAGGGAATGCTTACCTGTCTTTCCTTCTTCAAGTTTTTAGACTTGCTCTTTTGCTTCCCTCTTCCTGGAGAATGAGGAAAGTCGAACACCTTTGATGGTAGACCTTGATCCTTTCTTGGCTGACCATCTTGAGGTTGTGAATCCCCAAATATACACCAAGGGGCAACACCTGTATCCACTGACTCGCCCTGTTCACTGGTGATGTCTGCCGTCTGTAAGATGTCTTCTATTGTCCTGTCTTCATCGCTGGGAAAATTACAGAGGCAAAAAACTATTCTGTTTGAATTTTTACTTAATTGACAACAGTCATGATTTACATGGATAACATTTATCCAAGACCACATAAAGCTATACAACAGATCATGGAGTAGCTATTTTACTTAATATGTAAATAGTAATACAAAATGATGTTTAAGAAAATAGTGATATTCTTGACATCTAAAAACAATCAAGCACGGCAGAGAGGTTTGCTGAATCCACCCTTAGCTTTCTAACTGAAATACTCAAATAGCAGTTTTAAAAAAATCAGCTCTATGGATAATATTCAAGACATTCAAACCTTTCAGCAATCGAAGGTAAGGCTTCAGCCAAGGGCTGGTTTTTCCTCCTATTTCCCTTCATCTTCTTGTGCCTACTAGTCACATTCGTTGAAGGGTCTGCATTTGACTTTGGCTTTGTGGTGGCAGTACCATTCAGCGGTTTCACAACGGGAAGTTCAGGACTTGTGGCATTAGTTGATCCTCCCCGCGTAGATACTTGTATTGATTTTAGTGGGTTCCTACGGCTGTTGGGGACTGATGGTATCTTGAACTTGAACTTCGGTTGAAACCTTGGAGCATACTTGACATTTGAGTGCTTCATCTCTGGCAAGGAGCCTTTGGATAAATCGACAAAACGTTCGGTGAGCAGAACTCAAATCTGGTCATATTTTCTAACGTGTACCTTTCCTGGGAATATGAAAGTGAAAAGGTTAGTTTATCAAATATAACGTTACTAGTACAACATGACGATAACAACCATCAACTGTCCTGTTTATATAAATATAGCGTTGCTATCTGCAAACCTCTTTCAGATGAAGACGACTTATTCACTCAAGTTTGGCGCCATTTTCTGCAGACGACAAGTTCTGGTTGACCCCTGACCTTAGAAACATCATGGCTGCCGTGAGTCCAAAAGTTACTGCGACGGGCAAAGTTGTCATCATAGGCGGCGGAATGGCGGGGATTTCTGCAGCGCAGAGGCTGACGGCTGCTGGGTGGACGGATGTGAGGATCGTGGAGGCGAGAGACCGCCCAGGCGGACGGATGTGGACCCAACGCTTAGGTAGATTGTGTCAAAGATTGTGGTGCCACGCCCCCTCCACCCTTCAAGTTCAGCCACCTCACGATATACCTAATATGTACAAAGGTCATCTGGGACGGTCTGGTGCAATAGTTACAGGTTTGCGATAGCAAAACCTGTTCTATTTTACCTGGATTTTATGGGCGCCGCCATTTTGTTTCCCGTCATGCAATGGGGCAGGTCAAAGTTGAGTGAGATGCATTGTGGGACCTGTCACCGGGTTACAGTGTAAGGACGACACCTAGCGGTATGTTTGGAAAGAGCAGTAACTCTAATCCTACCTGGTT